ATTATATAATATATATTAAAATAATTCTGTCTTATTAACATATTATATAAGATAGATATACTATTAAGTACTATAATAATATGTTTCTGAATATATGTAAGCTTATATGTATCAGAATACAATTACTTTTATTATTTGTATTATACTAAGTGTAAAACACAAGAAGTACTAGTGTAATAGAAATCAGTTCCCACAGTCAATGTAAACTGCTGTTTACATCTGTAAGACACAGTATAGTCTATTTGTATGCTTAAAGGGTATACAATGCACTATACAATATATGTAAGAGTAGTTCACATCTATTAGGCTCTGTACAGTCCATTTGTATGCCTTAAAGAAGTAGTATCTACAATATAAACAGTCCACAGTCTGGTCCAGGGTCCAGGCAGTCCAAAGCGGTCCGGAAATTTTTGTCAAACGCTGGACTGTGGACTGGACCCCTGTTGGACCCAACTGGACCGGACCTCAATCGGACCGGACCAGAGGTCCAGTCCAGGTCCGGACCTGGTCCACAGTGGTCCTGGACCGGACAATGGCAACTATAATTATCGCAAGTTTCAGAGAGCTTCGACTCCACTATTAATTGCGTCAATTGGGACATGCTTTGTTGTCGAAGCACAGCGAAAATGACAATTCGGGTCACTGATTGTTAGGCAAGATCACTTCTAGATATATGAAACTGACCAAGAAACAAACAAAACGTCACAGATTGTAGAAGTGCTTGGACTTAAAGTTATGGTTGTTGAGTATCAAAATTTTGATAAAATCTTATAGATAGACTACATGGGCATTACAATGCTAATCATTACGTGTCTTGCATATACCTTGAGACATTTACGTTATATTAATATCATTTGCCAAAACTGAAGGAGAAGTGGCACTAGAAAAATCATCGAACCCCTACAGGAAATATATATTAATACTCCATATTGTATAACTGATAGAATGAAATAGGTTATGAAAACCAAGCAATCCAAAAAGGAGATGCATGCCTGATAACATAAATCCGTCTTCATTGTAGTGACTTCGTGATAGACAGAATCAGGATACAGGAACTTGATTCGAGCCACGAAGATCGTGGAAAAATATTTCCGTGAAGAACGATTAGTCATTCAGCTTGAAAAATCCTAACGATCGGCTTCAACGAGTTGTGACTTCAATAGCATGGAAGTGGTGAGTCATTAGTGGTATCAATAATATTGTTCTCTTTTGTTGAATGGAAGACCGGGTACAATGCAAGGCAGTATCTGGTCCTTGGATTAATATTTTAGCCTTGATATGTAAGTCGGATGTGTCATCGCGAGTTCAGAAGAAGTACTCATTTCGCATATCTACTACCGTTGGTCTCTTCTCCAGCTCGTGTCTTTCTGTGCCGCTTTGCCTTTGCATGACGCGTCGTCGGGGTGCGCGGACAGATAGAAAGTGCATTAGTAACGCTGATCTTGCCTCCTGTTAATGAAAACATCGAATATTGGTACTAGGGGCTGTCATGGTATAAATACAGCTATGCTGCTAGGCTATTTTCCATCTCACCACTTGAGGCACATCTAACGTTAATATCTATCGCCCAAGCAATGTCATTTTGGAAACCTGTGCCTCCACCACCGACTCCATTGGGTCGGTACCGCGTCCTCTCTCCGCATGCTGGGATCCGTGTTTCGCCGCTTCAGCTCGGAGCAATGAGCATTGGCGACAAGTGGGACAGTATCGGAATGGGCTCCATGGACAAGGAGTCGTCTTTCAAGCTTCTGGATGCTTACTTCGACGCTGGTGGTAACTTCATCGATACAGCTAATAATTAGTTCGTGTTCTGGTGACTTTGCATTTCGTTGTCTGACTGTTCTCCCATAGCCAGGACGAAACATCCGAAATGTTCATCGGAGAATGGGTAGAAAAGCGCGGAATTCGCGACCAACTTGTAATTGCAACAAAGGTTTGGACGCGTATCCATACTCTATTGTGAAGTCAGTGTTCACTGGCTACTTAACAGTACACGACGAACTTCAAGCGTGCGGCGACTGACATTGCTATTAAGGCTAACTATGTAGGAAATCACGCCAAATCACTCAAGATTAGTGTGGAAGCTAGCCTCAAGAAACTGCGCACGTCGTACATTGATATCCTGTACGTACATTGGTGGGACTACAACACGTCCATCGAGGAGGTAATGGACAGTTTGCACAATCTCGTTGTTGCTGGGAAGGTTCTTTACCTTGGCGTTTCCGATACCCCTGCGTGGGTGGTCTCTGCAGCCAATCAGTACGCAAAAGACCATGGGAAATCACCTTTCGTCATTTACCAGGGAGCATGGAACGTCATAGAACGCAGCTTCGAGCGTGAGATCATACCGATGGCGCGTGCGAACGGCTTAGCATTGGCACCGTGGAATGTCCTAGCAGCCGGACGTCTTCGCACCGATGCGGAAGAGGAAAAGCGTTTGGCCTCAGGTGAAAAGGGCCGTACGGCCTTCGTCGCGGATTGGGTCCGTAATGAAAACGAGAGAAAAATGAGTGCCGCTTTGGAAAAAGTTGCGAAGGAAGTCGGTACGGAACACATTACTGCTGTTGCAATCGCATACGTCATGCAGAAGACACCATTCGTGTTCCCTATTATTGGCGGTCGTAAGGTCGAGCATCTCACGGCGAACATCGATGCGCTCAAGATCTCGCTTTCGGATGAGCAGATCAAGTATCTCGAGAGCATCATTCCGTTTGATCCAGGCTTCCCTACTACAATGATCGTAAGCAAATTCATTGCTCCTCTGCATAGAATACTCAGACCGCTCTCAGGGAGATGGAACACCGAATAGGCCCAACCCATTGTTGGAGCCTGCCGCACACTGGGATCGATGGCCGCTCGCCGAAGCGATTAAAGCCGTTCCAAAAATTTAAAAGAATACTCATGGTTTCGAAAGACCAAGTAAGGCGTTTACCATATGGTGTTTGGTCGACTGAAAGCCCATTAGCCTCCCTGATGCTGGACAAGTCGGATATCAACTCGAGGAATGCCTCGTCCATGAAATAGAACAGACAAGAAATAAATTTAATTTTGTGTGTACAACTTGGAATCACTTTACGGAAATTCAGCACAACCGGCGTTTTTTTGTTTCCGAAGCAGAACATATTATCGACTATCAGATCGAACTGGATTTCTGAGGTATCCTGGAATGTAGTTAGTATTCAAAGGACACCCTTAAGACTGGCTTTCGACTCAACGGAATATTGGTAAATTTCTGATATCATCAACGAGGAACCAGTCTAAACTGGTACAAGCTCCTTGCTCCTTTAGAATGCTAAACCACAATGACCTGAGCGCTTTGGAGTGAGCCTAACAACTCGGACGGATTCCACATGAACATACAAAAGTGCAATTGGCACACCAACCATCTAGTCTAGGGCATTCGTCGTTACTTGTTCTCCTCGATAAGCTGCAATTACCTTTGGAGTACCAGAACCAAGTATAATAAGCGACAAGGCCAACGAGAAGGGTGTGCAAACAAATCTCCTAGCGTTCGAGGAGGATCCGGATTCGGACATTGTTGGCAAGCTCGATGAGTCGATAGTTGTATCTGCTGTGGGTGTATGCAAAGGGAGCTCGTGGAGCTGTTTTTCTGGCTCGGGTCGACAAGCATCATCTTCACCGAAATAGTCGATGGAAAGGTCAAAAACGTCGGAAGGAGTGTAAATAATGCCACCATATTGATCCTCAGTGTCTGATGATGAAAATGAAGGAGATGTGAATTGAGCAGATGGAGCCTCAGAGAATTCATAATCTTGTAGTTCAAGAGCCATCTAGAAGAAAACATGCTGAAAACAGGTAAACCAGTTCGGGAGAAATGATAGGCTTACATCCAATGCCTTGTCCAGACTGCCAGTGGCATTACTGCATTTTAATTGCTTCTCTATACAGTTATTACAGGAATCGTCCCGGTTCAAGGGCACCCATTCCTTAATTAATAGGAAGAGCCTGATGAGTTGTATCGAGTGAAAAGTGAGGTTATGCACATACGAGTCTTTCCTCTCTGCAGTACGTGCAGGCCCTTTGTCTCCTCTGTCGAAGGTTTCCTTTCTCATTTCGAATCATGGACAAAGCAAAGTACAGTGCATAGGGTGGTCTGAGACCACAGAAGCAACGAGAGTAGAAAGGCGTCGAGGGGTCCCTACAGCAGCATGTCGAGTCTTTTCCTTTTTCAAATACTCAGATAGCTGGAGCCAGTCATACACAACAATGTGGTACAACTTTCGGTTACGCAGACTTCTTGTCCTTGTGATAGTTTATGAATTCAAGAACACGACTAAATACGTAATCAGCGAGTTATTTTGCATACACACGGAGTAGTGCAATTATAGCCCGAGTTCACCGAACCGAGGTCGGCTTTACTGAGAACACGCCTCGAGGAGATTATCTGGAACGTTACTCTCAAGCAGACTGATGAAATCATCCAGAGCAACCCATTCCAGCGTCTGCACGGGTGTCCCTCCGTATATGACACGCACGAACCGCTCCTTCGTCTTTGGAGTTTGCCAGACCTTCCAGCCAAATAAACACTCAATTTAGTATAATCAAGACAAAAGATATCGGGAAGTAATATATATTGTAGGCCACTTACCTCCATGACGATCTCAGAACCCAACGCCGGCCATCGCAATGGTGCTACCTTCCCAAAACCTAGACCTGAAGTAAGACGAATGATGGAGCCATCATGTCCCACGTAAAACCTCAGTTTGTACGTCTCGGAACCGGATTTGAAAGCATTGAAGTTCATTGCTAGTTCCGTGAAGAACGCGCCTGCATTATTGAAATAACAATATATAAAGACAATGAACAAAATGAGATGATAGGCTAAGTATATGTCGTTGTGAGAATATTGGTACTGACCGAACGTGAGACGGACGTATTCAGTTGCGTTTTGCGCAGCGTTCCATATGTAACTTTATAGTCATATCAAGCATCAGGATTAGCAAATGACGGTGACATGACGGATGGATAGAAAAGTCGAAACGAAAAACGCACTTGTATTCGAAGTCGCCGATAGCGTGTACCTTATTCGCGTCATCCTCCGAAACGCACGAGCTAGTAGAGTTACATGGTAGTGGATGACCATGACACGTCCTTGAAGTGAACGTGTCAAAGAAATGATCATCTGTAAATAAAAAATCAGCCACCAAGACAGATAAGAGTTAAGTATGAAAGAAGTCATTAAAGAAAAAAAGTTGTAGTCCAGGGATTGAAGCAAAGAAGAATACGAACACCAGGAAGCCCAATCCGCGAGCCCAGTCGTGCCAAGTGTCGCGTCCAGCCTAGCTTTCAAGTCCTCGTTTGCCTGGAGATGATCTGTCCATGCTGGTACGGATTGATAGGCATCGCGAATTGCGTCTGCGTGGCTACATGCGTAATTCGGAGGTATCGAGTCAATCTAATTATTAAAGAAACGTGCAATAACAAAGTATTGATAAGTCAATTACTGAAATGTTGTAAACATAGGAAAGAATAGTTAGAGACCCACCACAGAAGGTTGAGTGACTACATTCCACGGTTTTGCAGCTGTTCGTGGATCCATACCAAACAAGAATCCTCCCGCAACTTCTTTGGTCCTTGGCTCAGTAGGCGTGCGGACAAGGATATCAGCTTCGTCCACGTTCTCCAAAAATCCAAGCTTCGTATGATACACAGACCAAAAGTCCTAAGTTCCAACCACAGTACATAACCCAATTAGATCCTCATATTAAACCAAGAAATGAAAAAACCAACCTGACCATGCTTAATAGCATCCTTCAACCCCTCCGCAGTCAACTGTCCTTCATCGCACGTCCCATTCCAAATTCGCGCAAGGAAAGGATGCCATGACGGGATGTCCGTCTCATAGATAATCGGTACGGTTCCCTGTGCGTAATCGAAAAGATGGATATCTGAACAATCCCATCCTGATGCTGGATTTAACTCTGCTTCATTTGGGTAAAGGTTGTCTGGAGTACGCTGTGGGTTTGAAGATCAATATTAATATAAAACGGATCATGGTTGGACGTTAAAACGATAGGAAGAAAGAAAAGAAGAAATTAAATTAAAAGTCGGCGTACCTTATGATGTCGGATTATTGCATTGACGTAAACCAGCTCAGGCTCGCCATCACCATTCGAAAGCGTCGGTTTCGAGTAATGCGCAGCGTTCACATGCGGAGCATTGCAGTAATTATACGTATTCCAAGGGAGACTCGAGGGTGTTTGAGAAGAGTTGTAAACACCCATACCAAATTCGTTTCCTGGGACACTAATATTTGCAGCTCCAGAAGCGCGAAGACCCGTAGATAGCGAGAGCAAAGACATTATAGCAGAGCCCATTCTCCGCGAAGATAGGACAGGCATCTCTGGAAATACCAATGACTCCAAGAACTCAACGAATGACCTAGGAAGGTTGACAGGCATGAATGGTCGTATATTTAAACTAGGATGAAAGAAGTTGAACCAGATGACGCAGGCATGCTTCGGTTAGAGGGCTAATCGGCACGGACGAACGTGCACTATTCTCTGTTGTTGGATGGAACCATCAGAGATCTTCAGCGACTTCTCTTCTCTCTATCTGTAGACGGAATTGTGGGAATGCAAGTCAGCTGATGATGCATACCCGTTGTATACACTGTACAGAGTGAAGAAGGGGTGTTATGGATACCTATTTATACACTGATATACTGTACCACCGTTTGCAAGAGGTGCCAAGAACGAGACCCTTGACGGATCGGACACAGCCGGAAACCCGTTAGATAGTATTGATTTTACGGCACGATGAATCTCTTCGTATAGGCTCTCCATGACAGAGCTCCACCAATAATTAATGAATATTTACACACTGATCCGGATGCTAATGCTAATAGCCATATGCATGTCCGCATATGGTGGTTCGGGATGACGTTTAAACTTCACTCTTCCGTTGTCGATCGTGACCGACATAACAAGATGGTAGACAGGAAAAAAAACATGCGCAGTATTACAAATGACACATGTATAATACAGCAATACAGCGTGTAATAATACGATACGGTATGAGTGGAGGAGAAAAAATGAGTGGGGATCGAGAGAAATTGCTTCTGTATGGTATACACAAGGTAAAAAGTGATAAAAGAGGAAAGAGAAAAGGAAATATTAAAACACAGAGGAAGGATCATCTTGAACAAGAAAAAAATGAGAGACTCCAGGAATTCGAGCAAAGGAAGCTCTATTAAAACCCGAGAACAGGAAGGAAGGTAGTTCCAAAAGGAAGCAAGAAAGCATGAGACCATGATGCGCAGCTATCTAACGCATAGAAACTTCGTCATCCGAATCGTCAAATCCAGCGATAAATTCCGGTAAGACACGGGTATTATATACGTTCGTCCGTCTCTGTGCAGCAGAACGAATCAGATTAACAGCATCTTCACTGTCCGAGTATGAACTCGATGCGGATCCGCTTCCTGAGGAGAGTAGAGGAGGTGGTGGAGGTGGTGGCACGGCGAGGATGAGTCGAAACGCATCTTTACCATTCATGTAGAACCGATGTAGACGTTTCTCTCGGATGAAGCCTAGAGATTCGTATAGTGAGAGTGCTGCTGCGTTGTCGAACTCTGTTTCAAGGACGACCTAAGAATACTAGTGTTAAGTATTATGATAAGGTATGTAGATGGTCAAGTTGGACGCCACCTCTTCGACACCGTGCTCCTTCATTGCGTCTACAGAATGTCGGACCAGTGTGCGTGCTGCATGGCGCATATGGGTCAGTTGTGAAGCGAGAAGCGAGGAACGGTAAACATACCAATGCCACGCTTCCTCCAGCCTCGGTCGACACTTAACATGGCGATGTAACCCCTGTTAGCAGCATCCCGATGCAAGCTCTGTTTGCAGACAATCACGCCAATGGGGTCCCCCGTTGGCAATGTGGATGAATAAGCCTATGTGATTGTGCATGTATCGGGGTTAGTCCATGAGCCGCATATAAACGACGAGAAGTACGTACCAGAAATGAGAGATGGGGCCTTCATTGGCATTACAATACTCAAGTTTCAGGTTAAGTCAACAAGGGGGATAATACATTTCTGGACGTACCATTGTCGCAGGAAATAGCGATAAGTGTATATAACATAGGGCTCGCTTAGCTCGCTCTGCACGAGAGCCATGATACTAGGCAAATCGGACTCGCCGACATATGGGCGGTAGACGATAGATGCGTCTGCCGCCTGTGTCTCCATGACCAGAGCGTTGTCAGTGCGTTCGTTGTCGTCGTGGTTGACACGTAGGTAGGAAAGCGGGGACCTTTGTTGACTCAGGTCAGGGACTGGGAAGCGAGTGGCCGTGGACGCGAGGATGTGCCGTGGCCGCCACGCGTGACGAGAATGAAAGCCGCGTTGACAGACTAGTGTGCTTGTTCGGACGCAAAGGCCAGATCTCAGATCCCCTCTCTTTGTCGCTGACGATGTCTAGCCCAGTGTCCTCCGTCAACCTCTCAGTTCTCAGTCTCGCTTTAAGCTCCTGGCTAGACGGCTCCGCCCAACTCCGTCGCTCACTCATCCTCTTCCCTCTCGAGCTTGGCATTGCTCCCAGTCACGATTCCAATTCATCATCAAGCCCAGCACTAGCATCACAAGATGATTCCGACCCGCCACGAAGAGAAACGGAACCAATTCGGCTTGTCGATAGGTGTTTACAATGGTTCACGAAGCCAGCGAGAGACCTGGACGAAGTTGAGAAGGTCATCGTTGGTGCTTTGGATCTCTCGGTACGTGTATGCTGCTCATTGGCGCCCAGATCAATCGTCTCATCATCGCACGTTTGTTACTTAGTCGTCTGTCTTACTGTTGAAACTATTGGGATCGGGGCCTATCCTGCCTTTCATTCTCAATCCGCTGAGCATTACTCTAGCGCTACCACGGAAGCTATCGCTCGGCCCTGTGAGATGGTCTCAGGTGGTGCTCTTATGTTTTCTCCTATCAACACTTCACGAAGCACAGCGCACGTCGGTCGCTACCGGCATAGCCTGGCTACGAATGAAGAAGGCAGCAAAAAACGAAGCTAATGTCGGCGAAGTCGTCCTTCGAGGCGAGAAGCTTGAAGAAACCAACGAAGACGAAGACGACGAACCCTGTGTCATCTGTTCAGGTGGCCAATCCGAGGGAACAACGCTCTCCGACTCCATCTCAAGCATCACTTCCCTCTCAACAACTCACACTACAAATACAAACTCAAACTCAAATACAAACTCAAATATCCCAGACCCTGGACCGCTAGAAGCCTTCTGCGTACACGCACCAACCAAACACCCAATGCACCGCTCGTGCTTCCTCGCATGGAAAGACGCATACTGGGAAGCCCGCGCCTCTCGACCTATCATAACCCTCGTCAGCGACGACTCTGCTGTCCCGTTACCAGGGACCTGGCAATGGCGAAGAGCACAAGCGATTCTCGCTTCGCTCGGTGCGCGAATATGGAACATGACGTATTACGTCCCGCTCGCACCTGCAGAGTTAACAGAGTCGACCGGTGTGAACGGTGTCGGCGAGTCAGTGTTCACATTACGATGTACCAACAGTACTCGGACAGCTGGATCTTCTGAAGAACTGGGAAGTATGGTCTCTGCTTGGCCACCCTGTCCAGGCTGTCGATCCGCAGTAAAGATGACCTTTGCTCGCGCCAGGTCAAGTCGACATCCAAATTCGTCGTCAAATGGCGGACGAAGTATGCTTTCGAAATTACTCTGCGTTTGGATCAAGTCGTGGAAACAGTTAGTGACTGGTCGGACTATAATTGTGAAGACTGCTACTCAGGTGTTATTTGCTGCTTTCCTGGTGTCGATGATGAGGATGAGGAAGTCGAATACTCGGCATTTGCTCATTTCGCGACGTGTATAGTCGTATGCTTGGGATGCCTATCGGGGAGGACGTTCGCGAATCTCGGCGTATATATCTGATATTATTTTCTTTGTGATTTTTGGGCTCTCGGGTGTTTATAATTGTAATTTTATTCGAATAGACGGATAGAAGAATAGGAATAGAAGTATGTACTTATGTAAGAGAAGTGAAATAATTTCTATTTATGGGATGCATCGAACAAATCAAATTAGATCTGTAATCGTCTAAGTACTAGGAGACGAGAAGTAATGGGCATTGGGCATGCACGGTGTACTTCATCAATTGATGGGTCATAATCGCCACTTTGTTCTGAACGCTCATCCTGATCATGCTTTAGCATTGTTGAATATTAACATAAACAGACAATGGACCGTCTTGCTGATGATTTTACGCTGGTTACCAATGACTTGAAAGTACACAAGGTTCGCACTGCAATAACTCCGTTTCCTTGTTTGTTATTTCGAACTCATATTCGAAGAGAGCTGCTGGGAATATCAAGGAACAATTGCATATAATTGCAAGGGGTCAAGACGGGAGAAAGTCAAACTCTCTGGACCTGTTACGGTGAGCCATTTCCCGTGGTCGCCCAAGCTATTTATCCTGATGATGACTGATTACCTTCTTCTTTTATCTGCTAGCTCTCCTATAAAAGTGGTAATTCCGAAGCTGCGAGTTCTTTCACGGCTTCCTCCGTTACAGAGCTATCTCAGGCAGGGGGAGGTTTCGGACTTGTTAGACCTACAGCATGAGGCGTGCTGGGTTTATGTGCAGTCGAGTAACGATGTCAGTACCCGCACTCCCTTTCATTTTTCACATCGGATGAGTACTGAATAGAGATCATGCATTGTAGGAGTTCATGCGAGAAGATATCGAAACACAAAGAGAGATATACAAAGCGGATCATAATGCGGATCTCGGCAACTTGAAACGTCTTCTACGAGATTGTCTCCGGAAAAATGACCTTTCGCAGCAGTTATCAAGATTATCGCCTCAGGAGGTTTCTGCTCTTCGAAGTGCTATAAATCTGGTACGGACAGGAAAATAAAACGGCTTGTTTATATGCTCTAACTGATCGCTTTTCAGGAATTACAATCCATCTCTGACCAAGCTTCCGACTCGCAGGCCGCACGATTGTTTAAAGAGGTAGTTTTGCGCTTAGGGGTTGAATCGACTCCAGGTAGGAATACGAAGAGCATCGTCCAGGATCTCACAGGAAAAATCGTAAGGATAAGCCAGCATCCAGTTGCTTTCGGTGCCATATGTGCTGTGTGGACGGGTGAATTGTATGGGAAGCGTGTAGCGTTGTACAGCCCGTCGCCGTATGCAAACAAGCGACATGACACAAATGTCATGAAGGTACTATCTCACTCTATTCTCATCTTCTTCTTTTCTGAACTAAGCCGTGACGAATATATTGGCAGAATGCTCCTGTATGGGCGTCTTTCGATCACCCCAACGTTTCGCCATTGTTGGGCATCTGTAGTGATCTGGAAGGTAATAAAACGGCTTTGGTGTCACGCTGGATGGAGAACGGGACAATCGAAACTTTTGTCAGAGTGAACCCTGGTGCTGATCGGCTGAAGCTCGTGAGTTATCAAACTCGCCGTTCCCGGGCGCATTAACTATTTTTACTCTTCAGATTTCGGGCATGGCATCTGGGCTTGCATATTTGCACAACAGATATCCACCTTACATACATGGATTATTTAACGGAGTAGGGTCATCTTATAACCTCTGAAGGTTGTCCACCAGCTGAATGAATTTGGATTGATAGGCTGCCGTATTGGTTAATGAAGAAAAGCAGGCGATCGTTGGAGGATTTGCGTCAGCAACTTTCGAAAGGGGTTGGGTGGTTGCAGTGCGGTGGTTGGCCCCCGAAAGCCTAGACAGTGCTAGTGATCAACTCACACCGGCGTCGGACGTATACAGTTTCGCTATGACAGCTTACACGGTGAGTATCAAACTAGATATAACAACTGAAAAAGTTCCCTTATCTCATATGAACGTAGGTTATGACCGGGACAATACCATTCGACGGAATACGTCAACCAGGACCCATCATCGATCTTCTCAAGAAAGGTGAACGTCCCGCACGACCTGATCGCAAGCTCGTTCATCACGGACTTGATGATAGACTATGGGACCTCATCCGACGATGTTGGTCGCAAGGTCCGGGAAACCGTCCGACGATGAACGAAGTCTGTCGAGAGCTGGAGAGGATGCGCGAACTCCCCGTCTTGGATGTACGAGATCTTACTGGTCTGATCACGCTCCCTAATGATGGTCTTACTGGCATTCGCGCTTGCGGTGCGTTCGGTGATATAAGAGTCGGTTTGTTGAAGGATGTGGGACCCGTTGCGTTGAAGACTTTGAACATCAAAGGAAGGACACAACCAGTCCTTCGGCACACCAAAGTACGAATATTTCCGATAACGACTTTTGGCTTTTACTAAATGTTCAACACTATAATTATTGCTTTAATTCAGAGATTCTACAGGGAAGCGTCCATCTGGAACGAATTGAAGCATCCAAACGTCCTTCCCTTCCTCGGAACCGCCGATCCGTTCGGCTTGACGACTTGCCTAGTATCACCATGGATGGAGAATGGCAATTTAATGGAATATATGAAAACGCACGCGGAAGAGTCGGCAATTCATATTGTTGCGTATACCTCTCTTCGGTAGGGGGCGCGAAACTCTTCTTAACATTGGTTCGGTTGTTCTGCAATAGGGTGTCGGGATTACAAGGGGGCTCGAATACTTACATGTGCATAAGCCCAACGCAGTGATTCACGGTGATCTAAGAGCGGTGCGTTGCTGTCATCATACCGCAACTTTATCCCCAACTGAACAAGCTCGGGCGCTAGGCCAACGTCCTGATCTCAAACTCCGGAGAACCATTACTATGCGACTTCGGACTGGCTGTGATAATCGAGGACCTGGCTCAGATGCCAATTTCCTCTGTACTCCAAGATGCCGGAAACCCGCGATGGATGGCTCCAGAACTATTTGTGGGCGAGCAGCAGGCCAGTATAAGCACAGCTTCGGACATTTGGGCGTTAGGAATGGTCTTCTTGGAGGTACGATCTTCCATTCTTGATTCACCGCCTTGTAGAACGAGGAACCTTATCGTGCTGAAACTCTTATTACTTACTGTAGATCGTGATGCTTGACGTGCCGTATCCAGAACTTAAGAGTTCGGCGCAAGTCATCGTGGAAGTACATAAGGGCGGACTGCCTTTGAGGCCTACGGGAGAAGAAGTGCTCCGCCGGGGCTTGAGTGATGATCTCTGGACGCTCATGATGAGTTGTTGGGAGAAGAGTCCGGGTGATAGACCTTCAGCGAGTGCTGTTCTTAGGGAACTTAAGGTGTAAAATAATCAATCTCAGGTGTACATTGTAGTCGATTAATTAGAAGCATTTTAAACAGAAAATACGTTATTATCCGGATCAGTTGATGAGATAACCCGTATCTGCACAGTACAACACCATTATTGTGAATAAAGCATCTTCCATTGGTCATAGTATTAAAGCAATTGTATTTCCTACCTTCATCACTTATTAATCTAATTGCATTTTTGACTGCCCAACCACTGGTGGGGGTACAGAGAAAGGCAGTACAACAAAAAGTCTGCTCTGCTAGAAACTATAAATACGACGGCTTTGATCGGCATTGTTCAGCGACACTCTCCATTTTTTATCAATGCGTTGGCAGTGTATCAGCAGATGGAAGTCCATGAGCTATGATGTGGCATGATATTGGGCTGATTGTTCAAACTCTGGTAAGTCTATCAATGATCACTGTTGCATAGAGCTGACAGTAGCTGTGGCTGCATGACCGAATGCATTTACAACAATGCACTGCCCATAAGACAGTTTATAAAATCAGGCTCCTCAGAAACCTTGACTATACATACAACTGTACTTTATCCCTGGTATCTGACATGCCTAGACAATCTGCACACATGAACCTGTTCATTCGCTTTTATGCCGCAAGTATTGATCCTAGTGCAATTCCAGATGTGGTTTTTGCAATGTTTATCTATCAATACTTTCAAGTGGCAATTGTAACTGTCTTAACGTATGATGCGAGTAAGTACTACAAATGATATTATGTGCAAATTAAATTGCTAATGGTTATGTAGTTATTACTATGGATAACGAGGTATGTCTGAGAGCCTTAAGTCTTTATAAAAACAAACTAACTGACTGCTGTTAGGTCAAATATTTTTGGGTGTGTATTATAACATTATTAGCATTTAAGATTAGCAATATCCCTAAAACACATTGAAGAAAAAGCTGGACAATTTTGTCAACGTTGTCTACTTTTTGGTGAGTGTGTTAATATAATAAAATCCAGGTGTTCCTTACTATAAATTCTCAAGAATCGATATAGTGGTATTCTTGGAGCTGTCTCTTATCTCTTTTGTAAGTCAACCACATAACGTTTTCCCTGTAATTATGTGCTTATAGGCATTAAGGGTCTGCATATGGCATGAATCTTGCATTGTATGTTTCTCTTGATTCACTGTATACAGGATGATAAACAGTATTTTAGATGTAAGTATAAAGAGCTGATAGTACTGTTGTATGTATTAAATTCTACAGGCAACTTTGCTCATTGGACTCAGAACATTTCCAGTGAGACAACATACACTTATTGCATGTACACAGTTACTGACATATCAGGAAGACTGGATTACAATTATCTTGATAGATTGTAAGTGATAGTATAAATAGATATAAATATTTGTAATTGATTTCCTTGAAGATATTCTTCTGATCCGAGTCCTTGCACTTTACTCTCAAGGTGAGTGAGAGAGTAAAACACTGACATTATACTGACATATTTAAAGACAAGAAGCTATCACTATCATTGACAGTACTTCTTATTCTTGAAGGCTGTTCAAAACTAGCCTTTATAATATATATTACAGTAAATCAGACATGTGAGTTACCTTTCCACATACAGCAACAGAAGCTCACATAAATTAGTTGGTGTGGGAGCTTTCCCAGATGGTATCACTGTATGTGGACATGACAGTATTCTGAATCAGAAATTAGGAATAGTTGACTGGTATACTATCTGATTTCACAAAGATTGTTGCTTATGTTAGTATAGGATACTTCCAATAATGTATGGTCTTGCACTTATGCCAGTGGTTCTGGCAACATACAAAGTAGCAGTACATTGGAGAGAGTCGGCTGGTTTCAAGGGAATTACTCTGGTCAAAGTGATTATTCAGGACCAGATCTTCTACTATGTCCTGTAAGTTCATAGTGCTTCACAATGTCTCTATTAAATTAACATGCTCTCTCAGTGTTGTTACATACTGTGTACTTAATGTACTAACATTCAGGCTACAAGTTGCAAATGTTTTTGCATCAATTCTCCCCTTTGCACTGGGTAATCCAGCATCTCTCTGTATTCTTGGCAGCCAACTTCTTATCAACCTGAAGGAAGCAGCTGAGCTGGGAGTTAACAAGGGAACAAATTATAGAAATAAGACTGTAAGCACAATAGACTTTGCTGCTAGAGGTCCTGTCAAAGGTAACTCTGCCTTCTCCAATCTGTTCAATAACTGACAAATGGCTCATTTAAAAGAGCAAGAGATGCAGACAGTGGATGATGGAATGCCTTGATGTGTCAGCAGTATACTTTGATACAGAGTGCTAGTACTTTTTGCCCAATTTGTGTTTGTCCTATCTGTATGTACTGTGATTATGACAAAAGGTATTACTTTGAATATTATTTTGTTCTGTAAAATAGGTGTGTAGTGATTGGAAGTAATATCTAGCAGCAACTATCTAAAGTTTTCTCAGAATGGTATATCTGATCTTTATGTTGAAATATATTTAGTATCCCATGCATGAAAACTTGTCTGTATTTCATTGTTACTGTTATACTGTTTGTCTAGAACTGTTTTGGGAAATACTGCTTAGTTTAGAATCCATATCAATCTTTGACCTCAGCCTTGAAAGAGCTGGAAACCCTCTTATCTCAGCATTCTTGTTGTATTCTTGTGAATGTTTAAGATAATGTAAAGTAAATGTAGTATTGCTTACTGCGTCTACTATTTCCATTTCCAATTTTCCATCCAGACTGTGTCCCCTAATTGAGCAATAGTGTTTTTAAGATTTTAAGTAGCCCTGCCAGAATGCTTGTACTACCTATAATCTCATATTTCCAGAGTAAAATAAGTTTTCTAGGATTGCTCGACATTTCTTCTTATTATATTTGCTTTGGCTAAGTGGAATAGAATTTATGCAGGTAGTTATTTCTAACGATACAGCATTATTGGACCGTTAATTTGTCAGTTTTCTCCCACGAAGGTCCGTCTGACCCCCGAACAAGTTACAAGTCATGCAACGCCAGTCTGTGAGCGTCTATCATCCTTCTATTGCAAGAAAATGAATTGGACATCAGGCACGAGGAGCACTCATGCAAACGCCCCCGAACGATTGCAAACCTTGTTTATGACGAGGAGACTAACAGATAGGCCGGAGGAGGTCACTATGCAAAGTACTCCATGGCATCTACAGCTGCCCACCTCGTCTTAACAGGTTCGCTCTTTACTATCATATCATTACTGTGCCATGTTGATGTATTCAGCAGTCATCCGCGCCTCTGGAGTAAAATGGGACCCAACACTACGGAGCAAATTACCGAATCTATACGTTCAGGTGCAGCTTGGTAATGAGAGCAGACAAACGAAGGCTATTAAGAAGAATCTGTTCCCTGTATGGAACGAGAGTTTTTCATTCAAACGGTGAGCAAGCTTTAATTCTAAAGGTTATACCCTTTTATAACTGCATTGACAGACCTATTACGGACCAAGGGGCGAAATTCATCATTCAGATCAAGCACGATTCATTACGTTGGACAGACAAGGACGTCAGCATAGTTGAAGTAGATCCTGACGACTTACTGGCAAAGCGTGCCAGTGGGAAAGGTGTGTGAACTTGTTCTCAGGTACACGCTGTATATTGATTAGACGGCTAGAAACAGAGATTCGTCTCAGTGTGCCTCGTGGGCCAGCTTCTACAGAAGTCACTTCAGTCCTCCATTTGCGTCTGGAGGTCGTCGAACCGATGATAGGCGTTAATCGTAACATCGATGCTGCTGAGCAAGCTATTCAATAGCGCGGAATCTCAACCTCGGTGGCTGTGACTGGTTCGGCTGCACTTATGTCTGTCGATGTTGGCACTGATCACTTTGCGACGCATGCTGATCTGTACAAGTCCGTGGGAACTCTCGTTTCAAAACTGGATGTGTTTGTTCATGCCATGGTACGTTCTCACAAGTAAGCTCGTGTTACTCCTTAGATTATCATGGTGGTCCTAACAGGCGCTAGGTCCATCCTTATGCTAACTTCGCGTGACAATTGGGATCAGCATTGTACAAAGTATGTTCAGGAGCTCAGCATTCGACTTAGCTTGACGTCATCTTAAGAGTATCCAACGACAATTCGAAGTTGACAAGAAAGTCGTCGAACTCGTTTATGCGATGAGACACATGTTTGACGCTGTCGACCAACTCAATACGCGTCAGGACAAGACGAAAAGGCTCGAGACGACGATCATTCAACTCTTGAAGCAAACCGACGAGTGTTGCTTGTTCATTCAAGAATACGCACGTCGTAATTTTGCAAGTACGACCATTCTCCACCTCTTTGCCTGCAGTTGTCTCAATGCATGCTAGGACGAATGGTAATGCTGGATGCCGATACTATCGTAGATGAATACCTGAAGGCTTTCGAGTCTCTAAAGGCATCAATTGACTCAGAAACTACTATGCACATCGTGTTTGTCTCCTCTCGGGTTTCTACCAAGGTCGATGCGCTGTGTACGTTAGATGTCGTTACAGCTTTAGAATTATGCTAATTTGAGTGAACTAGTTCTGAAGAACCGACTCAACCCGGATGAGATGAATGCATTTGACTGTCCTCAGTGTCTTCCCGGAACGCGCACAATGATTCAAGACGAGATTGTGGAATGGGCATCGTCGGGTACAGATCAGAACATTTTTTGGTTGCATGGTGTCGCGGGTTCCGGCAAAAGTACCGTTAGTATGACAATTGCAGAACACTTCCGTGCTATATCTCGCCTTGGTGCCCATCTATTTTTTCGACGCGGAACTAGTGAGCCTGGCACAGTCGTCCGCACCCTCAGCTATAAACTCGCATCATTTGACTCCTCCATCGCAAAGCACGTTATCGAAGCTATTGAAGAGGATAACGATATTGCTCTGGCCTCAGCAGCGATGCAGTTCGAAAAACTTTTGGGTGAGCCCCTTATTCGTGCCGGGGACGCTATGGGGGGACCTGTCGTTATTGTTCTCGACGCTTTGGATGAATGCGGAACAGCTAGCAGTCGGGCAAACCTGTTAGGACTCTTCCGCAATAGGCTTCCTACCCTCCCCAAGAATTTCAGGTTTTTCATCACGAGCAGACAGGAACTGGACATTGACCGAATGTTTTCTGCCATACCCGAAAGCATTCGTGCAGTCAAACTGGAACACGACTCTGCAGATTGCAAGGACGACGTTCGCTTGTATATTGACTACGAGCTGTGTAAGATATTCGCGAAGAATGCGGTAAATGTCACGGAAGATTGGCAGCTGAATATAGCCCGCCTTGGAGATGCGGCTGATGGACTGTTCATTTGGGCATCTACAGCCGTGAAACTCGTAGATTGTGACGATCCGGCTGGGAAATTGAAAGAACTGGTATACAACTCGCGAAACCTGTCTGGCCTTAACCAACTGTACGATTCAGTTCTCAGAGGTTCAGGGATTACATTCGATGCAGGGCGCTTTCCGAGGATCCTTGGCCTCATTCTTCTCAGCAAAGCCCCGCTTTCTGACAATGCGATTGATGGCCTTCTGAGCTATTCAACGACGCAATCATCACGTCTTATTCTTTCTCGATTGCAGTCTGTGATTGTGTACTCTTCTGGTGCTCCTATTCGCTTTTGCCATACATCCTTCCGCGACTATTTATTGGCTTCAGAGCGCCGAAAACATCCTTAGTACATCGATCTCGTGTCTCAGAAGGAGTTCATTGCTTCGCGATGTCTCAATATTATGAGGGACGGGCTCCGGTTCAACATCTGCAATATCAAGTCATCGTATACTTTTAATAATGAAATCACGGACTTATCGGATCGCATCAAGGCGAACATTCCTCCTCAGCTGGAGTATGCTTGCCTCTTCTGGAGTCAATATCTACATGAGGTGCAATTCTCTCATGTGTTGTTAAACGAGTTGTCAGAGTACCTTAATAAACGTTTGCTCTATTGGCTCGAAGTGATGAGTCTCCTGGGAAAGGTCAATGCTGCCAATCCGGCGCTCCTTTATGCCATGAACTGGATCTCAGTGAGTACGTAGATGTACTGTTGGCGCTGAAACTAATGTTTTCCTTCGACTAGTCACATAATGCAGACGTCCTGGCGTTCCTTAGGGATGCGCGTAGAATTATTACTCGATTCGCACCGCCTATTTCACAATCGGTGCCTCATATCTATGTATCTATTTTTCCGTTTGTACCAACGGTCTCGACATTACTTGCATATTACATAGAGCCCAGTCTACCTATTGTACAAGTACAGCAAACAGGCGTGAAGCAGCGATCACCGCTGCTGACGGAGCTGACAGGCCATACTGGTTACGTCCGATCCGTCGCTTTCTCCCCAGATGGTACTCGTCTCGCCTCCGGCTCCAGCGATAACACAGTCCACATTTGGGATGCTGAGAGTGGGCGAGTCATTTCCGCCCTTGTTGGACATACACACTGGGTACGATCTGTCACTTTCTCACCCGACGACACGCGTATCGCCTCCGGATCCGATGATAAGTCAATCAGAATATGGAATGTTGAAAGTGGGCAGGAAATTTTAGGACCTCTTGAAGGACACACTGACATAGTGTATTCGGTTGCTTTCTCGCCGGACGGGATGTATGTTGTCTCTGGCTCGGCTGACGGGACTGTCATGCTTTAGAATATTGGAGGTACGCCAACTGTTTCCATGCGTTTCGAAGGGCATGTAGGCGGAGTGAATTCTGTTGCGTTCTCACCCGTGGAAAGAACATTGTCTCTGGTTCCGTTGACAAGACTATTCGAATCTGGGACGTGGAGAATGGTCAGACCATCTGTGAGCCCCTTGTCGGACACACAAACTACGTCTTGTCAGTCGCTTTCTCTTATGACGGCGCACGCATTGTCTCAGGCTCTGCAGACAAGACCATACAAATCTGGGACGCAACGAGTGGGCAGTGTATTTCCCGGCCTTTCAAAGGCCATACAAGTGGAGTAGCTTCTGTTGCTTTTTCACAAGATAAGAAACGCATCGTCTCCGGTTCTGATGACAGGACAGTTCGAATCTGGAATGTAGAAAGTGGACAGGTCATTTCTGGGCCTTTCGAGGGACATACTGACTGGGTTCGATCCGTCGCATTCTCTCCTGACGGTAGCCGCGTCGTCTCAGGCTCCGACGACAACACGATCCGAATCTGGGACGCCGAAAGTCTACAAGGCGTTTCTGGGAGTTTTGAAGGGCATGCAGATGGAATAAATTCTATTGCTTTCTCTCCTGATGGGTGTCGCGTCGCCTCTGGCGCACACGACAATACGATTCGCATCTGGGATGCTGAAAGTGGGCGCGCTATCTCTGGACCTTGCGAAGGGCACTCAAAGAGTATCCTGTCCGTCGCCTTCTCTCCAGATGGAAGACATGTTGCCTCGGGTTCAGGCGATGAAACGATCCGAGTCTGGAACGCTAAAAGTGGGAAGCTAGTCTCCGGGCCTTTCGTGGGTCACACAGATGCAGTCAATTGTGTCACCTTCTCTCCTAATTGGAAACATATTGCATCTGGCTCTGATGACGAAACGCTGCGAATCTGGGAGGTCGAGAGTGGGAGGATGATATCAGGTCCATTTAGAAGGCATGCTGACAGTATTAACGCAGTTGCTTTCTCGCCCGATGGGAGACTCATCGTCACTGGCTCTGATGACAAAACAATAGCAATCTGGGACGTCGAACGAGGGGAAGTCATTTCCGGACTTTTGAAAGGGCACAAGCGCGTAGTCTGGTCAGTGGCTTTCTCGCCCGACGGCACGCGTGTTGTCTCAAGTTCTGTTGACAAAACGATCTTGATCTGGAGTATTGAGAGCGGACAGATTGTGGCTGGACCTTTCAAAGGTCATACAGGCTACGTCGAGTCAGCCGTTTTCTCTCCCGACCGAACGCGTGTTGTTTCAGGCTCCAATGATAGGAAAATCCGAGTTTGGGACGTTAAGAGTGGACAGGTCGTTTTTCAACCTTTTGAAGGTCATACGTCGTACGTGAACGCTGTCGCGTTCTCGCCGGATGGAAGACGTATCGCCTCTGGCTCCTGGGATCGAACGATCAGAATGTGGAATGTAGAAGGTGCAAAGATCAACTTTCTCTTGTTCCGAAGTCAGTGTCTAACGCCTTGTCTCTTCCTTGTTCTCTATACAGACCCCATCTTTGATTGGACGATGGGTGAAGACGGATGGATACGCGGATACGAAGGGGAGTTGCTGTTATGGATTCCACCTGATATTCGCCCAACGCTTTGGCGCCCTCAAAATACAGTAGTATTCAGTTGCCCATTCTCGACTAGGTTAAACTTTAAGAGCGCTGCATTCGGTGAACGGTGGCAAGAATGTTTGAACCACTTCAGTGATTAGCATATCTCGTCCCTCGGTTTCTGCAGCAACATCTTTTGTTTCACTTACCAGAACCAATCTCATTGGTTGTGTTGGTACAACAATAGCAATCAAACTGTATTGTGGTGACCTTGATGTATCATCAGTCCAAAAATTCGTACTTTATGTTATCACTCAGCTGTGCTTCATGGAGCATAGTTGCAGCACTTTACACGCCGCCAAACCATGATGTGAATGGGATGTATGTATGCAGAGAGCTCTGTTTCCATTGCAAAAAGTCTAAACACTTATATAACTATAAATGATATAAATTTAGTAAAAGTCTAGGACAGATAAAGTGACAACTACCTGTATGAATATTGTCCGTTCCAGATCCTATCTGAATACAGCTGTTACTGTGATTGTGATCAAGAGCATGTGCAATGTGCACACTGGTGACTGGTAGAATTGATGACGTCTTTACGAAAGAGAAGTGAAAATGACATTGCTCCAGGTACCTCCGAGTCGTATCAAAGCAGCAAAGTGTACCATCAGAGGAAGTAAATCCGCGTTGTTCCTGTTATATTTTTCAAGGTACCAGTACGAGAGCTGTAGTGTCCACAGGATGCACATGATGGCAGCTTTCCATTAACGGTAAACGGTTTTTTTACTTTGGTAATAGCTGTGAGAACCTGTTCCTAATTAGGATACAAATCAAATTCAATTGATGTTGCTACAACTGTTCGACTTTGGGTCTTGATATGCTACTATTTCGTTCCAAGAATTTGCTCACAGAAAGTTCTGACAGGACAGCGGCAAGAATACTATGACAATGTGGCTCATTGATCACTTCGGACGGAAAGGGACTGTGAGCCGCCTTGCCGATGACTTCGCGAAAGCTACGGCTGATTTGAAGGTACACAAGGTCTGCATACAAAACGATTCATCTTGTTATTCTCCTTGCAGAACTGATGTTCCAAGAGGACCGCTGCAAATCTTAGAGAGCAACTGCTTATAATTGTAAGGATTTGTGAAAGCGAGTCGTTAGCTCCTCCGGATTCATTATAGTGAGTGTTGGCAAATCGTATCTTCTCTGCAACTGAAATACTTCCCGTTAGCTCCGAAACCAGAACCGCTATTCCGAAACTGCGAGCTCTGGCGCGTCTCACTCCGTTGAAAAGCTATCTGCGGCAGGGCGAAGTTTCAGACTTGCTAGATTCGGTACTTGAGGCTTGTCGGGTCTACGTTCAATCAAGTAATGATGTCAGTTCAACCGGAACTCTTTAAGCACTTAATGCTAATGTGGATGCATGTCACAGGAACTCATGCGAGAAGACATAAAGGCTCAACGAGAAATATACAAAGCAGACCATGATGCGGATCTGGTTAATCTAAAGCGTCTTCTCCGAGATTGTCTTCGAAAGAATGATATTCGACAGCAATTGTCCAAGCTGTCTCCCGATGAGATATCTGCCCTACGGGCCGCAATCAATCTGGCATGTGTAATACTTCATTTGTATCTCTATGTAACTAATTGGTTCACAGGAATTGCAATCGATCTCGGACCCTTGGTCTGACTCGCACACTGTTCGTCTGTTTAGAGACATGCTGCTACGTTTAGGATCCGAGTCAATAGCGGATAAAAACTCGAACAGTCTCCAGGACCTCACTGGAAAAGTTATCAGAATAAGCCAGAACGTTGTCGCTCTCGGAGCGGTATGTGCAGTATGGACGGGCGAGCTGTATGGGCAGCGTGTCGCGTTGTACAGCCCCAGACCAGACGTGTACGTACAGTATCACTTGGGCGTTATGAAGGTATAATTCGATGCTCTTCTCTCTCTCTCTCTTTCTGGATTAAGTAAATGTTCCGACAGAACGCTCCCGTGTGGGCGTCGTTTGAGCACCCACATATTTTACCATTGCTAGGCATCTGCAGTGGCCTGGAAGGTAATAGAACGGCTCTTATATCGCGCTGGATGGAACACGGAACTGTGGAAAATTTCATCAAAATGAACCCCGGCGCTGATCGCCTCAAACTTGTGAGTAATTATGAGTTCATCAAATTTTCTTGCTCAGAAATACTGTTGTAATCTTAGATCACAGAGATGGCGTCTGGGCTTGCATATTTGCATAGCCGTTCCCCGCCGTATGTTCATGGTATATTGAGTGGGGTAAGGCCAATGGCCCGTGAATTACCATTGCTAGCTGATGAAAATGGGATTTTATAGGCAACCGTACTAGTCAATGAGGAAAAGCAGGTGGTCATTGGAGGCTTTGCATCACCAGCTTTTGAAAGAGGCTGGATGACTGCAGTGCGATGGTTGGCTCCTGAAACCATCTCATCAAATAGTGGCCTCTCTCTCGCAACAGATGTATACGATTTCGGCATGAAAGCTTACACAGTACGTTTTCGGTGGATCACGACTACTAAAGGACATTTCCAGTTGTCTTATGTGATTGAAGATTATGACAGAATCATTACCTTTCGACGATATAAATAGACCAGGATCTATTATCGACCTTCTTATGGAAGGCAAACGACCCGTTCGACCTACTCGCAGGCTTGTCCATCATGGGCTTGATGACAGACTCTGGGATCTCATCCGTCTATGTTGGGCACAGGATCCGAGAGAACGCCCGGCAATAAGTGAAATTCACCGTGAGCTAGAGAAGATGCGCGAACTACCTGTGCTGGAAGTGAGAGACCTTACTGGTCTAATCACAATACCCAGCAATGGTTTGACCAGCATTCGTGCATGCGGTGCATTCGGAGACGTTAGAGTCGGTCTGTTGAAAGACGTAGGTCCCGTCGCGTTGAAGAGTTTGAACGTCAAGGGGGTGACACAACCAGTTCTTCGGAATACTAAGGTGCATGCATCCTGTAAACGTTTCCACTTTAGATTGAAACCGCTGATGTTGTCTAGAGGTTCTACAGGGAGGCATCGATCTGGAATGGATTGAAGCACCCGAACGTTCTACCGTTCCTCGGGACTGCCGATCCGTCGGGTTTGCCGACATGCCTCATATCACCATGGATGGACAACGGGAATTTGGTCGAATACATGAAAAACCATTCGGATGAGTCAGCAATCCATATCGTTCGTTATCTCCGACGCAGGTAATTGAACGCGCAACATATCTAATTGCAATATGTATCTCATTTTAGGCCGTTGGTGTGGCACGGGGACTCGCGTACTTGCACGCACACGAACCGAATGCAGTGGTTCACGGTGACCTTAGAGGTGTACGTCACCAACCCACAGCTTTCGTTCAGTTAATAAACAATTCCCTCTCAGGTAAACGTCCTGATCTCCAATTCCGGAGAGCCTTTACTCTGCGACTTCGGATTGGCGATCATCCTCGAGGACCTCACTCAGATGCCGATTTCTTCGCTGCTGCAGGATGCTGGCAACCCACGGTGGATGGCTCCAGAGCTGTTCGTTGGTGAACAACAAGCGAGTATAAGTACGGCATCGGACGTTTGGGCTTTAGGAATGGTCTTTCTAGAGGTGCGTCCTTCCACTCTTCTGTTCATGGTCTTATGAGATGAGGAACTTATCGTGCCTACTCTCTAATTTGTAGATAATGACCCTCGACATGCCGTATCCGGAACTTAAAAACTCAGCGCAAGTCATTGTGGAGGTACATAAAGGTGTTCTTCCTTCCAGACCTACTGGAGAAGACGCTGTTCGTCGAGGCTTGAATGACAACCTCTGGGCGCTTCTGTTGAAGTGTTGGGAGAAGAATCCAAGTGGTAGACCCTCAGCGAATGACGTATTAAAGGAACTAGAAGTGTGAATGAGTTATTTAATTTTTATTAATTTGTATCTGCAGAATTAGATCGGAATTGTATCATAGACAACAACCAAGATCGCCTTGGTGTTGTTGTAGAACACATCCATATTCCGCGTCCACTTGCATCAGCCTCTAGTCTTTGCCAATTGACACACTACGCTTCCCTTCGTCCACCTCCATCGAGACTCGCCCCACGCTCTTATCCTCAAGCACACAAACACCGTCTTCGTAGATCGGTGCGTCTAAAAGGGTTTCGCGCGCTGGGAATAGTACGGATGCTGCATAATATACGACCGACGCTGAAAAGAACTAGGAAATACCACGATTAAATCGGCAAACTATTAAGCATTTAGAACGCAAACAGAGATACTTACACCAAAAATCCAGGCAACGTCGAATACGTGTACGGAATTTCCGATCTTGATATTTGGGTTGATGGAGTTGATGAGACCCGGCATGTTAGGTGTAACGGAGACAAGGAGAGCGAGTGCTGCGCGCCAGTTCTACAAATGCCATAAGGATAATTACGTTTAGTCATGTCAAACGCTTAAAGGCAACAATTACTTACTACTCCGTTGAAGTAACGATAACGTCCATGAGGGCGGTACATAGATGGGACGTCGACGTTTCCACGATGTAAAAGCCAGTACTACTAGACCGCACCAAATGTTAGTAGATAAACGTGGTGTAAGACAATTGAAGCACTTACGTCGGTGACCATTATACCTGCAAAAGGGCCCAGAAAGACGGAGTATCCATTCTATTCGGAGTACAATAAGTTGGTTTACCACAAGTTAGAGGGTAGGAAACTGCACCATAAAGGAGAGAAAGCTAGGAGCACTGGATTCAAGTATACTATGTCAGCAAGCTCGTCTGAGATGTATAGAATGAACAACCTAACGGACCTTGCAAGGATCTCCCACGGACAAAGTGCCCAACCGCCAAGGATTGCACAAATAATCTGTCCCCTCCGAATATTAATATACTACCAAAACAGAATCAGTATCTATATCCAACCTCTATAACGACACACGGGACATGGAAAACCTTATCTATATCTTACCTTTGGACACAAAGCAGTCATATCATTCCCTGCGCACAAAGAATTCGCCGAGATGTTCGTCCCAATCGTAGCAAGGCAAAACGCAAACGACGCGAAGAACGCTGCGGCACGGTTGTCCCATTTGTCTATCAACGTGAGTGGGTCCCAGAGGACGGTACCGTAGAGGGATGCACCGGCACTTGTAACTGCGATGCCCACGAAGCCGCAGAAAGTGAAGACGGTTGGGATGATAATAAGTTGAACGTATTGACTGTTAAATGAAGTTCGTTAGCTTCTTCGTAACTGCATGGAAGGTCTACGTTTGACGTACTCTCTTTCGGTCTTCGCGTACCGCTGTATGTTGAATCTGCGTGATACAATGGACTAGACAAAACGATCGAGGTAACTTACCGTAAAGTCCGGGATATTAACCGCAAGTGTCGCATATATCCCCAACGCACTGTTCAAAGCGCTCAACCAAGCCCAACTCAGCTTACTCCCCGAAACGTTCGCCGATTGAACCAGTAACCCTTCACCCGTCGGGACTTTCACGAACGACCAAATGAGCATCGCAAGCCACGCAATGGGCACGATGATACCCTTTGCGACGAAGAGCCAACGGATTTTCTGAGGTGAGACGAACATGAAGGGAAATTGAATGAGCCAGTAGAGGATGTAACAGAGCATCCCTGAGGTAGTTATATGTGCGCCTGGGGAGAGGTGGTTTGGCATTTTCGCTAGTGAGGGCCAGATCGCTTTCAGCATCTACAATTAAAAGTAATATTTAGAATCATCATTATCACTACGTATTCGCATTTGTGTTAGCGAGGGGTCGAGGATACTTACCTGATATACACTTTCCGAGCCCGTAAATGTTTGTACGCTGAACCAGAACATGGAAAGAACGACACGACTAATGACGCTGAAGTAGCTGAACCAGAATCCAAAAGAGGATCGATTGAGTACGGGAAACGGAACGTGTAGACGGGCTCCGATCGTCCCGTTCGCAACCATAACCACAGCTATGATGACGTGCCCGACGGCAATAGCAGGTAGGGCTTGTTTCCTTCGAGGAGAGAATAAATAAAAATTAGTACATATTGTGCTTTAATTTCCCTTTGAGTCAAGGTAGTAGAAAGGGAAGGTGGCTTACCAAGAAAGACCAATAGCAAGCATCGAAGACGCCAACTCCCAAACTGCAACATTTGCCGCGTCACTTATCCAATACATAATAAAATTCAAAGTCGTCCAAGTCCTCAGATGAGGTGGGACAGGGTCCATATCTCTATTACTGTACGCACTATTCGGCGCAAACGTCGACGGTTCCGGCTTCAGTTCCCATGTTTCGCGTTTTCCGAGTTGCTTCAAGCGAGATCCTAGTCCTAATTTTGCGTTCATTATTATTTCTTTTTCTGCGGTACTAGGATAGACAGTTAGATGGGTGAGGGGAGTCAAAGCCACCGCTCCCAGAGCCGAACATAACGGAGTTCTTAAAGCGCGCATACATAGAAGCGAAGCCTTGGGTTATGGAAGAGATAAGGTGATAAGCTTAGCGTGGGGTGTAGGCGTACCGGTGCATATAGTGTTTACGGAAAGTAAATGTACGGAGCTTCTTGACGGGATAAACGGAAGTTTGGAGCCGGGTCGCCGAGAAGATGGTATTACCAATGCTTGATCAAAATGAGGCGGAGATAAGAAGGTACGAGAATTTCTTCCTTGAAATATGATGTGTATAATTTGGCACGTAATGTACAAGAACAAGAACGGGAAAATGAATTATATAGGAAGAAGGCTGCCTGCTCCGCGAAGAGCCATTTGTGAGCCGAATCGTAATGTTTGCACGCCACCTGGGAAGTACGCCAGTACATACGAAACAAGTGCAATTATCTGTAACAATCGTTAGACAACATTCGACTCAGATAATTGAAGATTTTGCTAAGACAGACGTACTTGTACTATGGCAAAGATGAGCGACCCGAGGTATGAATGTTCCCCGACGGAGAAAAATATCGTTAGACCGAGACTTGCGAAATAAGCGATGGTAAACGGTAGACGTTCTTTTGAGAACAAGTGCTTGATGTGGTTGACCGGTCCAATTAAAATTGAAAAACTGAGGTACAAGTGAGCAAGAAGTGGGATGTGGAATCGAGAACTACGTACCCGAACATCACGAGTATGCTTCCCAAGCTAAATCACAAATGTCAGAAACGAATCCTTCACTAATCTAAAAAAGAAAACACGGACCTAAAAGCAAGTGCAAATTTTCCGGGTCGGATAGCCAATAGAGGTAGATATAGGAACGACACGAAGAAGCATGCTGCAGCACCGAGCAAGCAAGCACCGAATCCCAGTAATCTAGCAATAGCGGACACGTCAGACTCGCATCACGGAGCTTTCATGCAAAACACAACAGCTCACCTTTCCCATCTTGACAAGGCAAAATAAGCTTCCTCCTCATTAGACCGCTCATTGGACCGTAGTGGGATGTAGGCGCCGCCGATGGCGTCGTAGAATCGCGAGAATGGGTTTGCACCAGCTCCGGACTGCTGCGCCTGCGCTTCCTGCGAGTCGTCTGTGTTTCCCCGCGCCCAGCGAAACTGAGACAAGTTTGTGCGGAAACTCTGTTCTGGTGTTGGTTGTGGAGCCATTTAATAATATTATACGAGATAAAATGTCCAGAAATAGGGATATTGAGAGGGTAGTCGTCGTTGTATTGTGCAGGCTCAGATCAAGGATGTGGTGCCAGTGACGTGTTCCGAGAAAGGAAAGACGCGTGCACGCGATTACGTCAGATTCAGACGCGTCGATTACATTTACAGACAGACAGGAGTCTCTCTGCTCTGCTACTACTTAGTGGTCCTCTCCAGCCCACCCACTATTTGTTCTCTGCACCCACAACGAACACAAGCTGTGGTCAAGGATACAACAGCTCGTCTCCTCAATGGTCTCCGCGGACGAACGCCCCTTCGATGTCATTCCTTTCGAGGTATGCAGCGCATTTATTCAGGTCCACCTTAACTCACAGTTGCTGATGATCGCATAGGATATCAAGGGAAACTGGAAGAAGCTAGGCTCCGGCTCATTCGGGAATGTGTATAAAGGTATTTGAGGAGTCTGCGGTCACCGCAGTATACTAATGGAAGTGCAGGAACGTATCTCGGAATCGAGGTGGCAATTAAGGAGGTGCTGCCTTCAAACGATTATGATGTTGCCAAATACTTCGAAAGAGAATGGAGGCTGATGAAGTGCATCGCTAAATTCGTTTACTTTGAATTACTTCTAATGTCTGCAATTGTAGAGAATGCCGCCATCCAAATGTTGTTCTTTACCTTGGACTTTCCCGAGCTCCTGAACCCGATGGTCGTATTTTTATTATTTCCGAGTTTATTGAAAATGGCAAGTAAGCTACCGCCAATTCTTCACACGTGTACTGAGTCTTCACACACAGGTAATCTGCGTCAATATATTCACGACAAGTCGAAGCCATTCCCTTGGAAGCTGCGCATTTCTTTTGCCACCGATATTGCCCGTGCATTGGCATACTTACATGCACGCAAGTGTATTCATCGCGACCTAAAGGGAGAGAACTTGCTTGTCACCACAAATGGACGTCTCAAGATTACAGACTTCGGCTTTGCACGCATTGCTGCGCGCAATGCGGAAGAACTCAAGCGACTTACCTTCTGCGGAACAGATGCATACATGTCTCCTGAAATTCTCATCGGCAACGAGTTTGGGCTATCCACGGACATTTACTCTCTTGGGATTATCTTGTGTGAAATCGGCGCACGGAAGCTTGCGGATGACTATACTTTCAAGCGTGCAGCGCCATCATTTGGTATCGACATAAATGAAGTGCGGAGACTCGTCGGATCAAGCCCGGGCTGTCCAGCTGCCTATCAACAACTAGTGTTAGACTGTCTGGTGGAAGATCCTCCTCGCCGACCGGATATCCTAAGTATACTTGGACGGCTGCGAGACATCGAATTAGAGGTTTTGTCCCGTCCTTCCGAGGCGGATGACGTACATGTCGGCAGCGTCAAGTTTATCGCAGGAAATAAGAGGCCTCCTATGGGTCCGCGTATTCCAAGCTTTGGAATGGGCGTAGGAAAGGACATTGGGCGTAATGGCCAAAGGTCGTCAGATGATTCAAGCGATGACGATGAGAGTAGTGATGAAGAACAGCTAATTGAGGCCATTAAATCACTAGACGTTGACTGTATGCTATCCATTATTAGAGATTTGGGCTAAACTGATTCCTGACATTTGCAGTGGACGGCTCGAGTCAGCACGCTTTGCTTGGCAGCCACGGAACTCATAGTGACTATAGTACGACCGTCGTCCGCCAACATCCTCACCAGGCGACCAATACAGTTCCACCTTCGTTATCCTCTATACTCACGATCCGATCTCCTCAGCCAACAGAAACGGGCCAGGAGGTATTACCTGCTGCAGACACTATCAAGTCTTTCGACTCTTTCCATACCGCCGCATCTTCAATTTCCATTGCTGCGGCGACAGAGGGTAGCTCCTTCGAGACGTCTACAATACGCGGCGCTGGCGGACCTCCGTCCACACTTATTCATCGCTTTACGTTGATAAAACCAGGTGTGAAACGGCAAGCTCATTCTCCGAATGCTAGAGTTGGAAGCCCTGCAAGGGACGAACCGAGTAGTCCGAGTGATGGACAGGCGTGGAGCCCGTTCAGCTTCTTTTTCTCGAGTACGTTCGCGGCGAAGTGTGATATATGCGCGAAGAGACTGGGCTGGAAGCCGGTTCTCGAATGCGATGACTGTGGGTTAAGGTAAGCCTAGAGCTTTGGTATGCAGGGAAGGGCTCTGAAAGTCAATTGGTTTCAACTTTGCAGAGCGCATATTAAATGTGGTGAAGTCGCACCAATGGATTGTGGGTTACGCCCTGCCAGACCGCGCGTTCCACAGACCTTTTTGCCTGCCTCGCCTCTGTCAAGGGCGAAACTTGCTGGGAAGTCGGCTCCGAACTCGCCTTCGCCTTCGCCGAAACGATAGAAGTTGCTTTTCTGTCCAGCTACAGTTCAACTGCTTTTCACGAAGTGCACTACAAGGCCTTTTCTTATGACGCATTACGACTTTTGTCACGACACGCATTCTACTAGTTTTTGCATTTTGAGCTTTGATTTGTAAAATAGGAACTGACATGGACCTGTCATACCATTCTCTCTCGCAGTGTTTCTCGTCCTATTTATCGCCCTATCCATTCGCATTCGATGATGTTGTAGTGTATACACTGTGGAAAGATGTTGTAGTTTTTGTACCGATTTCTGGCTTGCAGTACTTTCGGAACTCGGAGGTAGATTTTGATGCACGTGACACGACGCGAATGGATCGCGAGCGTCTCCGGTTCTGCTGCATTTACCCATTCACAACTACACCGAGTGGCACCTTGCCAATGTTCTTGCATTAAAAGCCATGATCCAAGTTGACTTCCTGCCTGTACTCTCTCAATCCGACATAGAGCAAGCCGCTTTCGTACGTAACGACCACAAGCGCCGGAAGGAAACGCTAGGCTAACGATAATAATCTCCGCCGCGCTGTGTCCCCCAGTTAATTCAGAGCGCATATATTCCCGGGCAAGATGTCGAAGAGTCGCGACGGATGCAGCAGCAGCTGTTTGAGATCCAGAAGCGGCCAGAAGCGTGGGGACTTGTCTTGCCGTTGCTTGACCACCCGGACCCGAATGTGGAGTTCTTTGGTGCGCATACCGCACAGGTGAAGATCGTTCGCGATTGGTGAGTTATGATTGTGTTAATGTGTCTGAGTAATTTAGTGACTGATAATTGACGTGGTAGGGACTTGTTTCCGAAGGAACATGCTCTTCAGCTTGCTTTCGTTTTGCTTGCGGCGTGTAGTCGAATTATTGCAGCGGGCAAGAGCAAGGTTACGCTTAGGAAACTCTTCGTCTCGGTATGCAAGCCACTATGTCCACGTAGAGAACTTTCATTCTAATGAAGAAGGAAGGTCACCTCTCTTGCGCTCAAACTTGTTCCTGGCCGGCCATCTCAATGGCCTGACTGGATACTGTCTGTCATGACAACACTTTCCGGCAGTGGCGCCCGTTCTGAGCACGTCTTAGAGTTCCTTGAAATTGCTGCAGAAGAGGTTGGCTCGTCTGACATGACTTCTGCGAGCAAGTGTGTTCGTTTCGTCTGATTTCGCTGAGTCCGTTGACGTTCTGACCCTGTATTAGAACGCAAATGCAGCAGTCGATGCGTGATGCTGCGCCTCTTGTGACGGAGTCCGTCAGGAGCACGTTATTGTCGAGCACAGCAACGAAAACCGAAAAGGACGCTGCGTTCAAATGTTTAGAAGCATGGATATCGACTTTTAATGCAAAGTGGGAATTTTATTTGATTGGTTAAATTCTAGTCGTCTTATTGGGTTTTGACGATGTTCAGTGACCTCACTTCACTCATTCCGATACTCATCCAATTATTGTCACATGAGGATACATTTGTCGGAGCATCTGACGTTTTACAGGAAATTCTGAGTTCGTCATCATTTTCAGACGGCTCGGGCGTCAAAACTTTGACGGAGCCACTACTTGTCTTCCTTGAAACTGGTGGAGCTGCTATTGTACAACAAACACTTTCTAGTATGTTTCTTCGGGTATCTAGCTTCGTGTTTCGTCTGTTCTGATCTGTGTTATGTAGCTGGAGAAGTCGATGAGATTTCGCGTTCCCTATGCAAGCTTCTTGTCGCTCTCGGGGAGCACTCCATCAACTACATCGCCACGCATCTCTCGCAACCTCGCGTACAAACCTTTGTGCGCCTCTTATTCTCATACACTGCACTCCCTGGATCGTATGGAGTCGATGAAGACGAAAGTGAGATGACACTGAGCTTTTGGTATCTCCTCCAAGAAGCCCTTTGGACTGTCGACTACGGAGACGATCTCGCGGAGGCTGCGCTTGAAGATTGGGCAGAATCCGTGCAAGGGGGCGGTACGTCTCGACAGGGTTCTGTGGAGCCGAGTCGACCCGATTATGGCGCTGCGACGCCTATTTATACCGAGCTTGTGCAAGTGTTGAAACGGAAGGTAACATGGCCGGAGAAAACAGAGCTTGCTAGGTGGACGAAAGGTACGTGAACTAATGCGATTGAGGTACGTCATACTAATTGACACTTCCTATATGTCCCTAGACCAGATTGATGCATTCCAAGTGTGAGTTAGTTACACCAGCCAAATAGCATCCAGCTATTAAATGTATTTTCAGATATCGAAGAGACGTTGGAGATACTTTAATAAATGCGTACGTTCAGTCTCGTAGAGTCTTGGTCGTGATACTAATTCAGAAATCTCTGATCAGATTTTACATCCTTCGATCCGATATGCTGAAAATCTACGTCGAGGAGCTTGTTGCGTCGCTCAACTCGCGGCGGCAAAGCGATGGGTGGGAAGTAAGTCGTATATGCCGTCTAGTTTGCCTACGTGAAGCTTACAAGGAGTAGAATGTCGAGGCGATCCTTCACTGTATCATGTCGGTGCAAGAAGCGGTCGATATCTCGCCCAACACGCATCTGGAGCGAGTCTTCGGTCCAGAAGTCATTGGTCGATTACCTCGAAGTGGGCATGATCGAGTGCGAAGGACAGCCCTTGGCCTTATAGGTGAGCTCTTAGACGCTGAGCTGCAATCTGGTTCCTGACAAACGCCATCAATTATAGGTGCCTACGCAACTTGGTTTACGGTGCCCATTGATAATAGATATTTGCTGGGAGCTTTGAGCTATGTCGCCGAGGCATTAGACGAGTCTACACTATGTCTACCCGCTGCGAACGCGCTGCGGGAGTTGTGTGATGCGAACCGTGCGAAGCTGGCTGACCATATTGCGGAGTTCGGACAACTCCACGCACGATTACCGAGTATACCTGTATGCTTGCTCCCCTTGCATTTGTTTGACATGTTTGGTGATGATGAACTGATTATATGCTTCTTATTTCTGGTTCAACAGGACTCTGAAAAGGCGAAGATTGTCCAGTCAATAGCGAGTGTGATACAGGCGCTACCTCCAGAGCAAGAGATTGAGCCAGTCAATGTAAGCCTCTAACAAGACCGTTCGAACAGTACTTCTGACGGGTTTTACCAATTCTAGGCCATTGTCAGCCCTGTGGTGTCGAGACTCTCAGAAGCGTTGTCTACCGCGACTCAAGTAAGTATATTATTGTATACACACTGTCATTCCACAACGACGAATTTTTTAGCTTCCGGAAGAAGCTCGAGCACTAGCAATACAACAACTTCAGACCCTTACTGGCTGTGCCAAAGGACTAACACGGACATCCGACATACTCTTCGCTTACGATGACGATGCTGATAAGGCGGAGATGGAGAAAATGCAGCAGGCTAGGGAAGACTCTCGAATGCGCAGTCTTCGTGAAGGAATCATTCAGGGTACGCAAGGTGTCATGTTACAATGGTCGACAGATGCCTTGACCGCAGATGTTCGTGATTCTGTGTCTCGCTCACTCTTAGTTTATCTGACCAGAATCTACGTAGGCCCTCAACGGTTTGATTGTTGCAATCACTGCTCTACCAGCCGATATGACGCTGCTGAGTCTGCCTCCAGCTCCATTATTACAGATCGTTTGTGGGGCAATGCAACGACATCCAAATGCTGTGTGGCTATCGCTTGCAGCAATGCTCATACATCAGCTTGACCCACCCTCGTTGACATCACTTCTAGCTGTACCGTCCTCAGAGGCGAAGGAGACAGTATTGACTGCGCTTCCTATTATTCTTGATTCATGCCTGAGGTATCTGCAGCCGGATGGTGCCATGGAAGCGGTAAGACATTCCGTGATTCGTGCGTCTCGTGAGTTTATGACGTGCTGAAACTGTCGGATGGAATAGAATCCAGATATTGTGCAAGCATTCTTTGGGTGTATGGAAATGGTCTCGCAACATTTTGCTGGATTGTTCTTCCAGTTACCACAGGGCGCCGTGGAGGCTCTCATGCAATGTTCAGTGAAAGCCTTGACTTTGCAAGAGCGCTACTCGCTCGTAGCTGCATGCAAGTTCTTGGTTCGTAACAACTATCCTATGCAATTCAACTGTATTGAAATTCTTCGTGTTGGTTCAGGTATATCTTATTCAACGGACTGTATCTGTTGAGTCGTTGGAAGAACAAGGACGTGCGCTTGTCCGAACTCATTTTCGACCTGTTGTCCGGGCAGTGCTGTGTGGCATTGGGGGTAGCTCGCCGACGTCGACGGCGCAGAACCTCGTTGACTTGCTCCTAGCGCTCGTGACTCGCTGTCCAAACGAATGTAAGGCATGGGTGCCTGAAATCTTATTTTCTGTATGTCTGTATTTCTTATTGTCCCTCTTGTATTCTGACACGGAATGTGTAACATATGCAGGACGAAGAGTTCATCCCGACGAAAGCGCAACGACCGGATAAGGAGAAGTTCGCAAAGGCGGTACTTTCGTGAGTATCATTCATTTACTTGTGTACTTCCTTCCGCATTGTCGTTGATGAAACTTGACCGTTCTTTGTCCGTGATTTATGTATTGACAGTTCCCGATCAACAAAACGGATGCGAGATGCAGCACAACAGTTCGCACTGGTTGCGAAGGGTCTTGAGGGGTCTAATTTTGGGTATGCGTCTGTGACGATGTGAACGAGACGATTTGGGATGAGGCAAGGCGAAATGCATTTACCCCCGGTCATTTGAGTCTTGATATAAAATGTTATTGGCTTATTTGGTGAAGTGTAGATGTGGGGAAAGATCTGTAATGTTGCTTTTCTTGTATGACCTGTTGTGCTTGTGGAGTTGTATAGATATTGAGATAGAAATCCTTGACTTTTTAACAAAGAGATCATATAGAAGGAAGACTACTTGCGTGCACTTTTTTGTATACTACCATGGATAATGATGTGTATTCTTGATGAGCGAGTGTGGGCGCACTACAGCTAGGGCGCCTATCTGTCTGTATGCACACCTTTGTATGAACGTTTAAATTGATTAATGCGTTGCCATCTGTCAGGTACAGGCACTTCAGTGCCGATAACTTTCCCCTGGCCTAGCAATCCGTGGATTCTATGCAAGGGTTGAAAAAGGAACTGGAAATAAAATTTGAACATCGAGACAGGACAAATCTGCCGGACGTTATGGTGGTTAAATGCAGTCCTTGTCATACCTCTCTGAAATATCGTTGTTAGTTCCATGATGTCGTTGCGTACAAAATTAGATAACCGTTTTATACGAGCGGGCACTTACAGGATTCAGAAGATCATCGTTCTTTTACGCGAGACGTTGAGCGTCGAAATCAGAAATGATCAACTTTTTCAGGTCTGCGTTGGATTTGCGTCGATACGATGAGAGCGCGCACGTCAAAATGAAAAGATTTCTAGCACTTTATTTGAATGGAAAGGTCCTGATTTAAACTACTTATGTGAAAGGGCACGGTTTTCGTATTCACAACCCGCCCCCTCTCCTTCCCCAGCGTCTTCGTACAGAGCGAACAGACTTTCCGTTCCTTTCCACTCGTTTTAAAGAAAAGACAAGAATGTCGAGTCATCATACCGAACAACCTTCAGCAACGCCTGTAATGACACAGCAGGGTATGCTTCTCTCTGCAATCTCACTTCATGCTTTCACTCACTACGAATTCTCTTTAAAAAGGCTCGCATGACCCCTATGCACAAAATACCAATAATAATAACAGCCACGGTGGAGAGGGACGCCCACAGAATAACTTCATCCAACACACGTCGGAGAAGCTAGTCGATAAAGTAGAAGATCAGGCCGCCGAGAAAGCTGTGGACTACGCGACGGATCCGGACAAGGTGCAGCAGAATTTTGATGATGCGAAAGAAAAGGCGCAGGTATGTGCACGTCCAAGTATGTAAATGACTAGGAACACTGAAGATACATTATGTGGACGTAGGGATTATGGGCGAAGTATTGTGGCTGTTTCTCTTCTCTGGCATAGGTGTAAAACACGGGTACTGTTAGTGTAGTAAATTTCAGTTTTTTCTGGGACTTGGGATATAGGCAGTTGCGAAGGGAAAGGCAGAAAAGGCATTCTAAGTTACTTGAAAAAATCTCTCGGTCAGCAAGTTCAACGAAAAAAGACAAATATCTAACCAGAAAAAAAGAAAGAGAAAATAAGTCCAACTCTATCAGATCTGACCAGGTTTAAAACCCATTGCGAGTTCCAGTACATTCAGCACAAAATTCGTACCCGTTTTGCATGTGACGCTACACTCGTCCGTGATCGACTGAATAGAATTGGGTAGCGAATTCCATGCATGCCAACTAACAGTTTCAAAGCCTCCCAGCGCGATTCTAGCATCGTGCACAACGCATCAGCACATCCACCTACATCCCCTAGCAAAGAGTAGTCGCAGAGGCTAAAGATTCTCAGATTGGAACACAGAATCTGATTGCTTGTATCTAGAGGCTGTAGACGTGAACCCGTACTGCTTGGTATGGAAAGGACCTCAAAAAGCCGTGCTGAAATAGCACAGCCCCGCAGGTGGAGAACCTCAAGCTGAGGGAGAAGAGGAAGAATGAGAGTAACTGTAGCCTCGTTCGCGCAGCTTCCACCAATTTCCAGGTGGTTTAACAGTGATAAGGAACGTTGAATAATGGTCGAGAATATTTCACCTCCATTTCGGGGATTGTCATCTCGGTAGATAAGCCATCTCAAGGCAGGAAGGGTCAGATTATTAATCACTATATGCGAAGTGAGACCACACAATTCGAGGTATTTGAGGTTATGCGAGATGACAGAACGATCTTCGTCCTCAATCAGTTCACGTCGAACTGCAATTCGCAGTTTCGTCAAATTCGGGGCCGCGTTGAGAATCTTGCGCCATTGTTGTGCCGTGAACTTTTCATATAGATTAACTGAGCGTGCTGATATTAGAATTGGCTCATTATCAAATTCGACGAGCAATTCTCCTCCGAGGCTCAGATACTCAAGCTTGGACGACTGGTCAAGGTTGATACATCCGCCGACAGTTCCTTTATCGAGCCTGGTGTACAAATAAAGCAATGTTAACATTTGCATATCTGCAAGTCTTATACACCGAAAGCTGGGGGAAGTACTGAATTCCCAATAGAAGAAAACTTTCCCCCAATGCCACTGGTACTTCTAACAGGTCAGCTTATTTACCTTCGATAATTTGGTGCTGATCTCATTTGCAACACAGAGTGTTGTCTATCCTTCCACTAAGGTTCCTTGCTAGTGCTCCACACTGTAGCATAATTTACAGATACACCTGCAGCATATACACTTACACACTGTATTGTAAGAGAAAATTTTAGCTGAAAATACAGGCATATATTTACACGTGTATGCATATACCATAAGTAAAAAATTTCTGTATACACTGTATATGAGTATACAGTATTACTAAGCATATTCTCTAATTAAATACTAAGTTTGAGTTTCTAAACCTCATTTACTTTACTTATTTATATACCAAATCATTTTAATACTATATAACAACCTTGTTTAACTTAAAAAGTACTAGTATGAGTACTACAGTTAGTATGGTTACTACAGTACATCACATGAAGGTTTAGAGCTGTCACGTGATATTAACTCACAACACTCAACTGTCTTATTTCTGTGTGTAAACAGTACTACAATACATTTTCTTAGCTCAGTAATATCAAGCATTTGTTTTGAAAGATGATAGTGTACTTTTATGAGCTATTTTAATGTAAAGTATCTTGTTATATTTGGCACAGTGTATACGCTGTATACGCCGTATACGGAAGTAGCGTATCGTATATGGGTCCTGCTGACCCAGTTTACGCCCGTAATTATACGCGCGTATGCGTATACGTGGGAAATTTTACGCGCGTAAGCGTATACGCTACGCGCGGAGCACTATTCCTCGCACAAAGATATTCCCAGATGAGCTCGTACTCCTTGGACATGAATTCTCTCCCAATAGAGATGCGCAGCAAAAATTTTCACGAATATGTGTGTAATGTGCGGCCCGGAAAGGAAAGTATCAGAGCACCAGTCAGGATCTCGAGCGTTTGCCGACAATGGCGCAAAGAATCCCTCTCGTTCGGCGTTCTCTGGACCTACCTGAAATACTACGTTGATGGTGTACCTCCGGACTGGTTGATTGAGGTTTTCGATACCTGGCTTCAAAGATCCAACGGAGCACCACTTAATTTCTCCTTCACATGTCACCTTTATAGCCACCGGTCTAAGGAGGATTATCTAGTTGCTGAACGCATCGTCTTGATGTTGCTTGATCACCAGAATGAGGAATACAAAATAAGTGGCCATTGAGGACATGTTATATAGTACCTTTTCTGACTCTGTTATGTGGTCACAGACAACATTGTTCTACTTCTAGAGACTTAAAGTACTACCACCTTTGTGACCTTTGTGACTCTCGAATGTCTTCATTGTTTAACACCCTACATCAAGTGTCAGACCTTCCAAAGAGGATGTCCATTAGCAAGTTGTGTTTTAATAATAACAGAGTAGAGTGTACTCAGTTTTTGCTCTGGCCATTGCGAAAAAGTCGCATTCCTTATATGGAATTTTAGACTTTGTAAAGCAAAATAAACATTGTATATACATTATAAAGCAATATAAGCATTATATATACATTATAAAGTAACTGCAAGGTTTCCAGATGAATTGTAATGTCTAAATAAGACATATTAACACATTACAAGACAATATAAGTACTATGGATAAATATAATCTATAAAACTAATTATACTAACCTTGTATGACAAGCCAAAGTATTATGTTTACATTATATTTCTATTATAATTATAAAAACAGAGTGGTACTTACAATATAATAAAGTAATAACAACTATTGTTTACTTACAATTGTTATAAAATGGTTATTAATGTATACAATTATAAAAACATTCTTTTTGTAAAGTTATAATCTTAATAAATGTATAGCATTAATATACAACTTGATAGCAATCACAAAGCAAGTATGAGACAAGAAAAAAAAGTATTACAAGATCTTTCTAATAATGTGCCCCTTGACTGTTTTGTAACCTATTTTTGCCATCTTAAAATCAAATTTCTGTACATATATTGAGTCCATATGAATAAAGACAAGGAAAAGAAAGAAAGAAAATACTCACATTATCAATATAAGGTAGATGCTGATAGATGCTACCTTTTTCTTCTTCCCAAAGCACCTTATTATGAGGTGTGAGGTACAATCATTAGGTGACTTGTGGATTCCCCTCCTTGTAATAATAACAATAGTATT